ACCAAGCTAATCCCACCAAATACACAACATGAGTTTTTTTCCATGAATATTTGGCTTGGCTGTCGATGTTGAAGCATAGCCACGTGGTCCCCATGATTTCCTCTTCTTTGGGTTATCGTAGTGGATCCATTTTTCATCACCAGTGACTATATGATGCAAAAAATCCTTTCGTTTATGCCTGGCAAACAGCATTTCACATGTGCAAAATCGGCGTTCAACATTTCTCGGCTTCAGTTCATATAAAACCTAATTTCCTTGCTTTCGAATCATTCCCAACGATTTTAAACGATGTGAAATTGCTTGTTGAGTCACTTCTAATGTAAGTGTAAGTTCTTCTTGGCACGAATCTTCCTCCAATAATGCTTCCAATTCCGCGTCTTCGTACACTTTCGGCCTTCCGCTACGTTCTTTGTCTTCGACGTCAAACTCACCGTTCTTAAACTTTTGAAACCACTCAGGACAACTTCTCTCACTTAAAACAGCCTCACCATATGCTTCTACAAGCAATCGATGCGCCTCAGCTGCAGATTTATTCAAATTAAAGAAGTAAATCAAAAGTTCCCGCAAATGACGCTTATTCGGCTCAAAACTCGACATTTTCGCACGAAAAAAATTATGTGATGCTGATATAAAATCGCTAACATTTCAAGGTTATGGTGTTGCCAGATGTTCAACCTTACGATATGACGTTTTACATCTGACAATTTCAAACATAACTTACTAGTGGGGCCATCTCTTGTCAAACGGCGGAGACTTATTTGTACTCCCAATATAAAAATCTTGCAGTTAATTTGAACATCTCTCAACAGTTTTCTTTAGTATAGTAACAGTAACTGAAATCTTGTACAATAACATAATTTTTATGAAATTTGTTCGACTCTTAAACATCAATTTATGCTAATTTTAAATGAAATTTAGGACTTGTAATTGATTTTCTCACTATTTTCATACCAGAAAATTTACTCAGTACTGGTCGGAACGCAAACTCGAGAACTGCAGATACCTCCACGTTTCTAGTGTATTACCTTAGCTACTTCTTCAACTGATACAAAATGTTTTGTATTATCCTCATATTCAGCCAAAACAATAATTTTATTTTTTATAATATTATTCAGTACAACTACACAAATAAACTTTTTAGTCGAAATATTTCAAAAATATAAGAAAAGTCAGGGATATACAAGGTGTTTCATTTTAATTTCTCTAATCGAATTACTCAGAAAGTAAAGAAGATGAAGAAAACTTAAATACAGAAGTTGCAGGGTTTAGAGGGGGACGTACAATGGTGACCCTGACCTTGATCTTGGAATAAAATTTAAGGTTATTTGAAGGTTCAGTTGGTTTTTTTAAGCGGAAAACTCTGTTTCTGATTACGGAAATAAAAATAGTAACAAATTCTGCGTTCAGTTATGTATAATATTACGGGATCAAGTTGATCATTAGAGGTCACTCCAAGATCAAATATATTTTTTGTTTATGTATGTAGTTATGCATGTTCTAAACAATTGTAAGTACAATATTTACTAGGTTTAAACAGGAGCACTTGTCAGTGAACTAGATCTTGACCTTGGGGTCAAATTTTGAGGTCATTTAAAGGTGAAGTTGATTTTTTTTAATGGAAACCCCTATTTTTGACCTCAGAAATAAGGTACTACCTGGCCAGTGAAGGCAAAATGGAGGACCATCCGGCCAGTGAATGCAATATGGAGGACCATCCGGCCAGTGAAGGCAAGATGGAGGACCATCCGGCCAGTGAAGGCAAGATGGAGGACTATCCAGTCAATGAAGGTAAGATGGAGGACCATCCGGCCAGTGAAGGCAAGATGGAGGACCATCCGGCCAGTGAAGGCAAGATGGAGGACTATCCAGTCAATGAAGGTAAGATGGAGGACCATCCGGCCAGTGAAGGCAAGATGGAGGACCATCCGGCCAGTGAAGACAAGATGGAGGACCATCTGGCCAGTGCAAGTAAGATAGAGGATCATTTGGCCAGTGAAGGCAAGATGGAGGACCATCCGGCCAGTGAAGGCAAGATGGAGAACCATCCGGCACAGTGAAGGCAAAATGGAAGACCATCTGGCCAGGGAAGATAAGATGGGGGCTTGTCCGGCCAATAAACACAAGATAATCCCTCTAGAGTAAATGTTCGAACATACCACCGTTCTGGTCAATATGTAAGCGCACTCTTCTTTCAAATGCATCGATGATTTTTCGTAAGATATGAGCTGGTATGTTTTGGCATGCCCTTGTAATTCGCTCTTGCATATCTTCAGGCGTGGTAGGCACTGTTTTATACACTATACCTTTTACATAACCCCACAAAAAAGTCCGGTGACGTTAGATCTGGTGACCTGGGTGGCTATACTATGGGACCGCCTCTACCAATCCAAGGATGAGAATATACATCGTTCAAATAATTTCTAACATTCCGAAAATAATGAGTTGATGTGCCGTCATGCTGAATCCACATTCGTTGCACTACATCTTGATCTCTCGTAGCATCTCTGGTAACTTATTTTTTGACATATCTTCATATGCTGCACTGGTAATATTACCATTGAAAAAATGTTAACTTTCCATATATGTTGGTTGTCAACGTGGCGAAACTAGTGTGTTATTCTGGAAATAATAACGCTTGTTGTGTCGGTTTATTTCACCCTTGCTTTTAAAGGTAGCGTCATCGCTGAACATTATATAAAGGAAAAATGAAAGGTTAACGCATATTTGTTTTAAGGCCTATCTACAGAATCTTAGATAAATAATTTTATCATTTTCAGAAAGTTCCTGATTGATGGAAATGTGATAAAGATGAAAATGATTCGCACGTAAAATTCGATTGAGAGTGGCAGGAGATATATTTAATTCTCGACTGATTTGATGTTGGCTGATTCGTGGATTCATAACCACTATACCTAGAACTGTGACATTAATGGCATCATCGATATTTCGAGGCTTCTTCGAATGTTTAGGTAACATGTTCCCCTCACGTGCTCTATTTGTTAATTGTGAAATTGTTTTGTGATCCGGATGTCGTCGTTCAGGATAAACCTTACGATACCGACGAGCAGCTGCTCTGGTGTTATTACTATACGCACCTCACATAGCTATCATATCAACGATCTCAGTCGGTGGATAGTCATCGGCCATGGTAAGCGTGATAAATTTTAATAATTCTACTATCTGTCCAGTAAAATGTATGGATCCAATAAATATTTTTCTTTTTTGAAAATTTGATTGGTATCGATGAAAAATTTATGTTCTTCTGTTTAGATAATCAAACTCGTTACTCCGAAATATACGTACTAGTGTTAATAAATTTACTATATTCTATTGAAAATAGATGATGGCTTTTTTCCAAACCTATTTATGAAAACGCAGCACAATAGTGAGTCCAAACAGTCTAAACACAACTGAACTTTATTTAAATATGCAAATCAAACAAATTCCCTACTAGTTAAGCACGAAAAATTAAGTAAGAAATAGATATTGATATTTGGCTAAATTGTGACGATAGCAATTCTGTCGAAACAAAACCTTTCGGCGAGAATATTCATTACATTGACTCCACTTTATATCGGTGACTCTTATGATCCAGGTAATATACCTGTATGTGTCAACTCGACGTTTCTATTTTTGACATTAAGAATACTCTTCTTTGTATTTTCACTTCTACTTGATAGAATAAGAAATTAATTTGTCCTTGTACTAAAGAGTCAATTTGATCTCACAACATGATAACATATCTTGTCTTCACTGGCCGGATGATCCTCCATCTTGCCTTCACTGGCCGGATGGTTCTCCATCTTGCCTTCACTGACTGGATAGTCCTTTATCTTGCCTTCACTGACCGGATGGTCCTCCATCTTGCCTTCACTGACCGGATGGTCCTCCATATTGCATTCATTGGGCGGATGGTCCTCCATCTTGCCTTCACTGGCCGGATGGTGCTCCATCTTGCCTTCATTGGCCGGATGGTCCTCCATCTTGCCTTCACTGACTGGATAGTCCTCGATCTTGTCTTCACTGGCCGGATGGTTCTCCATATTGCCTTCACTGGTCGGATGGTCCTCAATCTTGCCTTCAGTAGCCAGATAGTTCCCCATTTCTGAGGTCAAAAATAGGGTTTCTATTTTAAAAAATCAACTTTACCTTCAAATCACCTTAAAATTTGACCCCAAGGTCAAGATCTAGTTAACCGACAAGTACTCCTGTTAAACCTAGTAAATATTGTACTTACAATTGTTTAGAACACGGATAACTACAGAGGTTAAATGAAAAGTATATTTGATCTTGGAGTGACCTCTAATGGTCAACTTGACCCCGTAATATTATACATAACTGAACGCAGAATTTGCTACTTTTTTTTACTTCCGTGATCAGAAACAGAGTTTTCCGCTTAAAAAACCAACTGGATCTTCAAATAACCTCGAAATTTTATTCCATGATCAAGGTCAGGGTCACCGTTTTATGTTCCCCTCTAAACTCTGCAACTTTTGTATTTAAGTTTTCTTCATCTTCTTTACTTTCTGAGTAATTCGCCTGGGGAAATTAAAATGAAACACCCTGTATATGCGTATATACGCGTATATAAAAACTATAACTTTCCGAAAATATTTTTTTCTAAAGGATGATAAAATAAGAACCAATATTCTACACTTGTACGGAATATAAACGTTATATATATATATATTAACAGGCCATTATTTTTGTGTAACACCTACGTAACGTAACGTAACAATTACGTGTAACATGTAACTTCATAATGAACTATTATATATAATTCAATCTCATAATATCACCTACAAAACCACAACAAATATAACGGACAACCATCTAATTCCCGATTATTTTATAAATTACTTAATTATAAAATTACTTTAGTTTTAGTCGTACGACGTGGAAAACATCATGAGTCATTGTTTTCTTCGTTACAGTAAGGCATTAATGCGTGTTTGTTGTTGTTGCTATTACTTCTCGACAAGCGTTAGTAAATTAACTTTATAGCAAACGTAGAATAGATAACATAAGATCCCACACAGCACATCTGTCAAAAAGCTTTCCGAAAGGTCACTTGAAAATTATATTAAAATATAACATTGAAATAATTCAGAAATATTTGTGAAACGTTTCATCAAAAATCTTTTTCACTGAAATATTTAAAAAATACAATTGAAATTCAGGGAAAACATCAATATATTCGTATATAATGTGATACAAAGTATCAACGAATATAAAAGAATGAACCTTTACTGTGCCGTACGTGATGGAGCCGTGCTATTTTGGTCACAAAATTTATGATACGTGTTTTCCATGTCGTACGACTACAACTAAAGTAATTTAATAAATTAAGTAATTTATAAAATAAAGGGGAATTAGTTGGTTGTCCATCATATTTGTTATGTTGGTGATATTATGAGATTAAATTATATTTAATATTAGGCGTACAACTTTGCTTCCGCCGTTTTTCTATAGATGGCTTTAGCGGTAAGTGGTGGTCGAAATAAATAGATCATAGACGTCATACAATAAACTTGGGCATCTGTCAAAATAACCCCATAGAAACATTAGTAGATTTGTGTTTGCATCATAAAGTTATTCTCGATTGAAAATGTCAGTTTACGAGCCAAATTCTCGTCATTTGCGGGAGGTTTTAATTTTCTGCTTTAATATGAAGAAATCTGCGGCTGAGGCTCATCGAATGCTCTCAAATACTTATGGTGAGGATGCTCTTAGTGAAAGAACGTGTCGTGAGTAGTTTCAACAGTTCAAGAACGGTGATTTTGACGTCGAAAACCGGCATAGCGGTGGAAGAGAGAAGGTTTTCGAAGATGCAGAATTGAAGGCATTACTTGATCAAGACTCGTGTTAAAATTAAGAAGAATTGGCACGATCATTGGGAGTGACTCAACAAGCCATTTCAAAACACCTTAAAGCCATGGGAATGATTCAGAAGCAAAGAAATTAGGTGCCGTACGAATTGAAGCCGAGAGATGTTGAACGGCGTTTGTTTGCTTGTGAACAGCTGCTTGAAAGGCAAAGACGGAAGGGATTTCTGCATCGCATTGTGACTAGGGACGAAAAATGGTTCATTACGATAATCCCATGAGCAGAAAATTATGGGGAGTTCCCGGCTATGCTTCCATGTCGACAGCCAAACCGAATATTCACGGCTCCAAGGTCATGCTCTGTATTTGGTGGAACCAGCTCGATGTAGTGTATTATGAGCTGTTAAAACCGACTGAAACAATTACAGGCGATCGGTATCAAACGCAATTGATGTGTTTGTGTCAAACATTGAAAGACAAATGGCCACAATACAACGAGAGACACGATAAAGTGATTTTGCAGCATGATAATGCTCGACCCCATGTTGCGGAAGTGGTCAAAACATACTTGGAAACGTTAAAATTGAAAGTCCTACCCCACCCGCCATATTCTCCAGACGTTGCTTCCTTTGACTATCACTTGTTTCGATCAATGGCACACAGCCTGACTGACCAGCACTTCCGGTTTTATGAAGAAGTAAAAAATTGGATCGATTCGTGGATCGCCTCAAAAGATGACCAGTTTTTTCGACGCGGGATTCGTACGCTGCCCGAAAGATGGGAGAAAGTAGTGACCAGCGATGGACAATACTTTGAATCATAAATGTATAACCAGTTTTTTACAATAAAGCCTCGAATTTCGGAAAAAAACGGCGGAAGCAAAGTTGTATATCTAATAGTTTATTATGAAATTATACGTAGGCTGCTGGAAAAGTTTCTGCAATCTAGTACTTCCAATGGTGCCAACTACTTCTGCTACTATCATATCCGTAAAATTAGACGTTTTTAACCTATAATTCAGACAGTTTGTATCCAGACAACTAGTTTTGTTTGTACAGTATTTTAAAAGAAGTTATTTTATGATAAAATGGAAATTTCGCGTGAAAATTTTCGGGCAATGATTTTTTACGATTACAAATGTAGTCTAACTCCGAAACAATGCATCGATCGACTTCATTTGGTTTTTAAGGATGAAGCACCATCCAATAGGACTGTTTATAATTGGTTTGCCG